GGCGGGCGGGGCTGGGAGCGAGAAGCTCAGAGGTACTAGAAAAGCGTGTCCTAGGTGAAGCGTTCTTGGTGGGAGAGCACCTAAGGCTGGAGTGAGGGACCTGATTTAATGCGGCGCAGAGGGTCACGCAGTCCACCCTCTCTAACCCTATTTTGCAGCTAAGGACGCTGAGGTTCAGAGCGGTTTAATAACTTGTCCAAGGTCGCTCAGCGGTACAATTGGGATTCGAACGATTCTAGGTTAGAATCCTGGTTCTGGCCCTTCCTGGCTGTCACCTTAGGCGAATGACATCAGCTCTGTAAACTTCTTTTTCTTTTTGCGTTAATTAATTCAAGTAAAATTGTTTCATCCATTCAGCAAATATGTATTGAGCACCTACTATTTGTCAAGGCGCTGTACTAGTCTCCGGCGAGCCAACGGAAAACAAAACATAATTCCTGCCCCAATTAAGCTTACTAACGAGGGAGAAAGGCAATACTTTCCCACGTCAAAAATGGGAAGCTTAATTAAGAAGGAAATGAACACTATGCCCTGATTTTTAAACCATATATATATGTTTTTATTTGTTTCTCTCTATACAAGACAACATCAAACTATCAAAATTTATACGGCAGTGTCTGACAATTAAGAGTCTCTAAATAAATGCTTAGTAAATAACTTATACTGGTTTGCAGAATATCTTATAAAACCAGAATTGTGCATTTAAACCTATTAGGCACCAGTCATTACATGAGAGGAATTTCTTTGGGAAATGAATTTTTCTCATAAATAGTGCAATCGATCCTTCCCCGAGGACTTGGAGTTTTCTGTGCGTTTGGGTCTCGGTTTTTGGGGAGACTGAACCACGCGCCAGGTCACAATAGGCAGTAATGCATTTATGCCATGAGTCATATTGACCTTCTCAAGATGGCGTCAAACCGTGAACTACAGACATCACGCTCACTCCATGACTTCCTCTATGGCCTCCACTTCCTGCCCAAAGACCCAACTTCTGTCCGAGGTTGTGACAGAACACATGCCATGTTAATAAGTTTTTTCTCTGATAGGATCTTTTACAGATATATAAAATTAATATAAGTTGCGTGTATTTAGAGATTTTCCCGTCATCCGAAGCTCTCAGTTTCCTTTCGGTGGCGAGAGAGCGGGGGTTTTAATCAGGCGCATGCTGCGGACAGCTTCTACTTCAGGCGGTCTTCGGCGGCGGAACGAAGGACCCGAGTCTCTGGAGACTCAAGATGGCGACGGCAGCTGCATCCTCCGCTTCAGAACCGGAGGCTGAGCCCAAGGCGGGGCCCAAAGTTGGGCCCAAGGCCGAGGGAGAGGAGGATGAGCTT